GCTAAACCAGCATAACCAAAAGCTAGCAAGCTAGACCAGCGGTCTGTAGCTGCCGGTCGGCCGTTAATTCGTTTATCCATACGCCAACATTGATCCTTCATCCATCGCTTCAATCACGTTTTGCTTTGTCCGTCTGTTAGTTCATCTGTCCGTCCGTCTGCACATCTGTTCGTCTGCGACTTTGTTTGTCCAGTTACCATCACATAAAAGCTGGATAATGATGTTAGTTCTGAATAAGTGGCGGAGCAGGCTAGGAGTGTTGGAGTTAGCTGTCAATCAAGCTGCTCATTAGCCACGCCCACACAGTTCTCAGATCTATCAGCGGTTTTCAAACTGTGTTTTCATATTTATCTTAAATCTTTCATTCGAGTTTGCTGGATGTTTCATATAACAGTCAAGTTTAGGATCATACAAACGTTTTTATTATGTTTCTCTGTGGTTCCTGGATCGTTAAGTACTCCAGTGTTTTAGATTATTCCTCAATTGAAAGGACAAGATGAGAAATATAGTTACAGTTCTTGTTTCTCACAGTTCATTAGTGCAGAATGTGGGACGAGTTGTAACTTCAGTATTTATAACAAAGCAGGAAACTGCATACCTGCTGGAGCTTGTCCTGTACACACCTCTCTGGCAAGATGGCAAGATATCAAATCTTTCCAGATCTGCAACACAGAAACTGATAAAGGCTGGGATGTAGTGTCTTTATAGCCGGTCCAGCAGCATCTCCTGGCCTGGGCTTCCAGGACTATAGTGAATATTTATTCTGATTTTTTTTTCTGAGGCTTGTAACATTTCACCACAGCTTGTTTGCACATCGTCCTCATCTTATTCTTTCAGGGGCACATTCACCCAGAGAGCGAGAGAGAGAAGAAACAGTGTCCTGCTGAAAAATCCCATAGAAACCATCAAGTGTTTCTGTTCGTTTCTAAAAGTTTTTAATGTGTTTTTGGGTTGATATCACAGTGTAAAGATCTTAATGGTTTAACAAGAGGTTAAGCGGTTTAGATAGACTGTGAGCAAGAGCGAGTGTGCATGAGAGAGAGACAGTGCGAGCAAGAGTGAGTGTGCGTGAGAGTGCGAGCGAGTGCAAACATGAGCGAGTGTGCGTGAGAGAGACGATGCGAGCAAGAGCGAGTGCACATGAGAGACTGCAAGCAAGAGCTTTAACTTCTGTTCGGCGCTGCTGCCATGGTAACGCTGAATGATGGGGCACGCCCAGTGGAAAAAAAACTCCGATCTGAGCTTCACGTTAAGGTCGCAGGGTCACGAATTGGATATGGATCTGGTCCGGGACCACATATGAAAGTGGCTCAGGTCGGATTTGAAAAGATCAGATTTGTGTCACGTTAGGGCAAAAAAATCAGATTTGTGCCACTTCAACCTGGTAACGTAGCCTTGAAACCATGTTTTCTTGTGAAGTGTATACATCTGTGCAGAGCTCAGAGACCACCCTTTTGTTTATTCAATTTCCAGTCAAAACTGACGTTTTTTCAGCATCAGGAAAAAAAACAGAAAACATTTAACCACTGATTTTGCAGTTTGTGTGTGTGGTGCTAGAGCAGGAGTTTTTGTACACTAGGTAGCCTTTACCTACTGGACACACCAGTCTTTTTCCTTTCATGGTTTGTCTCATCCATCCTCTAGTCCTTCATCAGTGTCCAGTTTCTGGTTACAGGAACAATATTACCTGGATATTTTTGGTTGTTGGACCACACTGAACCTAGCAGTGACACCTTAGCTCATACCAGTGCAACGCACACTACCACACACACACTACCATGCTGCTACTATGTCAGTAATACTGATGTGCTGAGAACGATCCACTGCCCAAGTAATACCTAGACAACAAACAGAGGTCCTGTGGTCAGAAACTGATCAGTTATCAATGGGGTAGAGGGGGGCTGATAAACTGTACAGCAACAGATGGGCTACAGTCTGTAATTGTACACCTAAATAGTGGGGCTTTAAGGCCGGTGGACCTAATAAAATGGACAGCGAGTTTATATACAAGTTAGGTGTAGTTTCTGGTAATTTTGTTTATAATTTGCAAAAAAGTAACCCTTTACATCGAAGATTAAAAAAATTGACCAATTTCCATGTCAGATTTGCAAACGTTAGATTTTGTGCTCCTGCAACTAAATTTAAGGGAATTTTGATATGTGTTCGGGGTCATTATCTTGCCAACCACAGCCAAGTCCAAGTACTTCTGGTAGAGGTAGACAGATTTTAGGCTATAATGTCCTGGTATTTAGCGAAATTCATTTTGCCATTGATTTTCACATGAGAGCCTGGACCACTAACAGCAAAACAGCCCCAAAACATCAGTGATCCAACACCATATTTGACAGTGTGTGCTTTTGATTGTATGCAGTCCATTTTTTTGCCAGATGTGACAATCTTTGCCCCATCTGACCACGTCACGCCTTCCTAGCCACCAAATGCAGCACCTGAACCCAATAATTTACCAAGAATGTATTGGCCCCAAAAATGTAATGAAAATTTGTCAAAAATATAATAAAAACACAATAATGTAATAACATGCCTAAATAAATAATAGTGTCATAAGTGATACTGTAATAAAAGTTTTGCAGATGATGTAAAACCTTGTTTTTATATCTTTGAGGTTGCCCATATGTAATGTTGTATTACATTATTGATCCCTTTTGTTCAAATAGGTTTTCAAAATGGATGATATAATATTTTAAGAGCAGTTTTGTGCTGTAAACAGGAGCCAACCTAGCCTGGAATGAGGGGAGCATCACCAAAGTCTCTGAGTTGATTCTTGTTTCAGAAAGAGCCTAAGGGACACTTGAGATTGTGCACCCTGTCTGGGAGAGGGTTACTGAGACCTACCCCTGAATAGAGGCCTGGGTGAAGTGTTCCTCAATGAGCGCCTGGTGGCCGGGCAGCCCACGTAACCCAGCTAGGCTCAGCCCGAAAAGGCAACATCGGGAGGCCATGTGGGCATGGTCCAGCATGGGGTACCGGTGCAGAGGCATAAAGGCTGTTATTATATTTTTGGGAATTTATTACATTATTAGGTTCTGTAAGCTTCTTTTGTAGAACTGCTCCAAAAAGCCAAAAAGTAGTTCTGAAACAGTGACCCTTGGGTTCCTCTTTGCCTCTTACCGTCCTCCTCACTGTATGCAGGGGCAGAATGGTTTTGCGTACCTTTTTCACTTATTCCCAGCTTTTCAAAGATTTTTTATTATCAACCTGATTAATGGCAGTTTCAACTGATGACTGATTTAATTAAACACAACCTTCTCATTTGAGTCAATGGCTCTATGGTTTACCCCTATTGATGGATGACAGAGATTTTATATGTGTAACCTCATATTTATTCCCCAGAAAAACATGAAATGGTCATAGACAGCAGTAGAGTTCCTGTAGACTGTGTGCAATGAAATGCCAAATTTCTGCCAATGAGTTTGCCATATATGTCTTGGAAAGAATAAACATTTTTAAATAAAACACACTCTTGTAGGAATTTATTTAATATTAAATAAATAGTAAGTTCTCCCACCATTTTTTAGGAATATTTCAATCATTATAGTATTGTTTATTTTGTTTGTTTTTGCCCAGTTTTTTGAGGGGTGCCAGTAATTCTGGAGTTAACTGTATATGAAAAAAACGTTTTAAAATAAAATTGCTGAAAAAGGTTCCCTGCACAATGCTAAACAATAACAACTTCTTCTGAGCAGAAGTTCTCAATCTGATTTATAAAAGTTATAATAGACTATTTTTTTTTTTTTTTTTTTACCTTTTAAAATGTTCATAAATGAATTCTGTTATTTTTAACAGGCTGGCCTACATCACATCTCCATGACCTCATGCATGTGTGTTCACTTGGCTGCTTTTAGTTCACAGCTAGCAAAAGTAAAAGTAAAAAAAATAAAGAACCTGAAAAAAAAAGAACCTGACTACAAACCCAGAAAAATAGCCATCAAAGACAAAAGTGAAAAGCACTTCAAGATATAAACAGAATAGTACTGCCAGGTCCCATATAGTTCTGTGGTTTTACCCCCCGTACACCACCACAGTGGATCTGGAATGAAGCAGTCACAATATGATTGAAGTGTAGACTTTCAGCTGTAATTGAAGAGATTTGACAAAAATATTACATTAATTTTTAAGAATTACAGCCAATTTTTACTTAGTCTCTTCATTTTCACACAGTCGTATCTTCATTTCAGATCCATCATGGTGTTGTACAGAGACAGAATTACAAAAATCGCCACTATGTCCGAATACTTATGGACATAACTATGATGACGGCTACAGAAAATACAGATTAATCACCACTGGAGAGGCGAATGTGCCAAAACCTTTGTGAGTTGCATGTGGAGAGAAAAGAGGCCAGCGGATGACACTTTTTTGGAAACCAAACTAATTAGGCCAATCATGTGCATCATGGCATCATTTCCCCCCCAGGTCTCCCTTACCAGCCTGTTAAAACCACTATGGGCTGAGGTGCAATCCACACAGTTAAAAAGGTTGGGACTCCCACTTTAGAGAACCGCTTTTCTAAATGAAATGGACTAGTGTAATGCTTAAAGAACCTCCAGATAACACAAAGGATGTGAGAAGGTCTCTTAAATCGGGATTTAACATATACTTTATGTGAAGGTTCTTTAGTCTTCAAAAGGTTCTTCACACCTCAAATTTCTTTTTTAAACTTGGTTATTAGTGACCCAAAAGTTCTTCTTTAACATCCTTTCTGTCTTGGTAAACCTTTTCTTTAATTCATCACAGTAACAGAGACATAAAGCTGCCGGTGCCTAATCTTTGTGCACTTCGGGCCTCATTCACCAATATCTACCTCATTTTTTTTCTTAAATTGATTCTTGAGAAAGGTCCTAAGAAACATCAGGTTCATGACGTGTTCTTAAACCGCAGAATAATTTGCACCTTTGTGCTAAGTCTGCGTAGATTCTGTTCTTACTTGAGAACAAATCCCAAATAAGAAAACATTGGTAAGTGTCAGATTCTTCGTGAAAACTGCGTAAGTGGGTTTTAAGAGGACGTTTCGTCTGAAGAACGGTCGGCGAATGAGGCCCATTGTTTGAGCTGGTGATGCCAAACTTTGTCTGAAAAGAGCCTGTACTATGAATGAGTTCTGAATAAATTTTGAGACGATACAAGAATTTTCCCACACAAATAATCCAAAATCATTATAACAATATACCAAATATCAGTTCCGAGTCTTTTCCCTCAAAGTCCTTCATGTAGGCCTCTTAAGGTCCTGCCAGAATGTGATCAGCTGCTGTGGGGAGTTAAGGATGGTGGTGATCACACTGGCAAACTCTTCTCGATTATATTCACCTCTAAAATAGTCCTTAAACTGGGAGGGATTTGGAGGGTTTGTAGGTGAAACTCCTATTCGTTTCAGACAGGCACCCACATATGCATCCTCTATGTTAAACGCTGTTATTTCTTTCGAGGCCTCAACGATCTTCCCTGGAAGGTCATTGGAGAAGATATAACCCATCCCCAGCAGGTATGTTGGGTAGTAGTCTTCAGCGTATAATTCCTTTGGCACATACCACTTGGAGTTCTTGTCCCGGATGACCGGTATGTTCCACATAACCCTTCCCGTAATGTAGTTTTCTTTAGGCGTATCAGGTGACAGCAACAAGCTCATCAAGTTCTCCAGATTCAAGAACATGTCGGAGTCGACCTTCATGGCGTAGGATGCCTGCGGGCAACGTGTGGCCAGCCAGTCCATGATTACCGTGGTCTTTATCGTCAAGTTGAGGTAGGTGTCCATGAAGTCGCTCAGGACCACATCGTGGTACTGCTGGCTTTCCAGCTTCAGTTCCTCCTGTTTTTTCTCAGCCTCATTTCCAGGCAGACCCAGCAAGAAGATCACAGTGATGGTCTTGTTTCGGACCACGCTCTCATTACCCCATGTGCTCCGGATGGCGTTGCGAGCCTCCAGTTCGTGTGGAGCTACCGGGACCAAGAGGGCCAGGAACGTATTCTCTTGTTCACACTTATGGGGCTCGTCTATGATGTAGTGGTAGTTACCTGGGTACGCTTGATGGTATTGGATGGATGATGCTTCTGTCACCGGAACAGTTGTCGTGGACTCTGTACTGAGCATGTCTGTCAGCTTATCTGTGTTCACTGTAGTCATTGTTGTGTGTGTGGCTTCGGATGTCGGTTGGTTGTCTGTTTCGTTGTATGTTGTGAGACGGGTCATATTTATTAGTGTGTGATTGTTGGCTGTTTGGAACATGGAGAAACTGCTGAGCCACACTTTGGGGGACTCGAAGAAGGTACCAAACACATAGATAAGGACAGACACGCCAAGGGTTACGGACAGCAATAATATGAAGCAGCTCTGAAAGCGCAACCTGCTGAGGCTGAAGGTGGCCATCTTCTGGGCTGGACTGAAAGAAAAAAGAAAGAAAGAAGTCGTTAAAATGAAGCATCCATTTTCTTTAAGTAACCCCCTCCCCGCTTTTATTCGCTTACTTTAAACACAATACAGGCTGATGGAAACTGGCCTGATGTTGCTTTGAATTTAACATGAACAGCCAAGTTCCAGCCTTTGTTTTTTCAAAATTCTCACAGTATCGCTTAAAAGTGCGTCATAGTTGCTGCTGCTTCTGAGGGTTATTCAGCACATTTTATAAAAGCTGTGTAGTTACAGTGAGGAAAAACAAATTCTTTTTTTTATACATTCAGTGCGTACGCCTGTGTCCACTTTAACTTTACACACTTAGGGTCTGATCTGTGAAACGTGTGCTATCTGTGGTGCTGTGCAGTGGTGCTATGACTCATTTATCAGAAACATTTGTCGGCCAATGGCGCTTGAAAAAAATAAGATCTCTGGAAAGTACATTGAGCACTTCTGTTGACCGCATGTATGAGCACTTACAGACAATGTTTAGTTTGCTGCATGCACCGAAACCGACGCTGAAATAGCTACATTAACAACACAACAGTGAGCACTTTTACATTTGACAACTCCAGATCACAAGACTTCTTAAAACAGCCTGTCTGAACAAACACAGCTGTACAAACAGTCAAGCAATACAATAAAACAGGCTGCTTCACAATACAATACACCTGCTTGCCCCACAAACGTAACATGAAAATCAGTTATGCAAATTGAGATTCGCCTCTTGGACGTCACAGCGATAAACAGACAATCTCTGTCAGGGTTAGAGAGCCTCAAACCACAGTCACCTTTGTTTTTCCTGCTTGGAATAGAAACACTTTTTTATTTTGCAGCATTAATATATGTAACTTTATGTAATGTTTACAGATAAATATTTTAAAAATAGTTTCTGAATACCTTTCACTCGGTCACTTTTATTAGATGTATGTTCATCTATGAATTCATACTTTTTAGTTTATATTTATAAGCACAAAGTCAAAAGACGTGTGTGTAAATATGAAGTGGATATACACACTGATAGTAGATTAAATAACAAAAACAAGTGTCTCCTCGCTTGTAGGTGACAACATGGATCCCATGGTTTGATGTTTTCAGTTAAAACCCATAAATATTTTTAAATATTTAAAAATTACATAAAAACTAAACTTGATATTATAATCTCCTGACCAACTTGCAACTATATGTTAATTAGCAATAGGCGGAGCTACGGGGTACATTTTAGGACATCCTCAGACCTAAGAGTCAGAGCGGCATCATTCCTCAAGCTAAACGACTTTGAGTCTTGAGAAAAACCATCGACATGTCTCAGATCTGGGTCCAAACGGCCTCAGTCCAAATGGCCATGGCCAGATATGGCCATGAAATACCAACATAAGGACTAAAATGAAATGACAAATAGCTGTTTTAAATTTATTTTTATTTTTGTCACAGATGACTGGTGCTTATGTGGAAAATGAAATTCCAAATGTAGGTATTTCGTTTCATTTTCAATTTTGGCAGGATATTTGCGCAGCTGTTTGGAAAACGAAATGGTAACAAGAGGTTTGCATTTACATTTTATTGTTTTAATTTTAATTTCCTTTTTGGCTGGATTTGCCTCCCATAAGAATACACATCCCTAGATGAGATACCGGTTATAAAACATTAGCTTTGTAGCAGACGGTTTAAAACTGAACGCCTTAAATTTGAAAAGTGTAACTTTTTAAACTTTTGAAGACCCAAGCTGCTAAAGTGTGTTTCGGTAGGGTGAGGTACGAGGTGGGTGAATGTAAGTGGTGCGTTTTTATTAAGTAAATCCAAACCCCTTAACCTGAGAACTGACAGTAGAACCAACTAAACAAATCAAAACGAAGACAGAATAGTAGTGAAACTAGACAAACTAGAGAGGGCACAAACAAAAGGTGATGATCTAACAGAGAAACAAAGTAAATAAAGACAAAGAGAGAAATGAACACTACTTATAGATCAGTCCCCCAGCTTTTGCCTTCCAGTGTGAGCCACTGGAAGGAAGCTGCTCCGGCACAGTAGGACCATTTGAGAGAAGCTCTTCGTTCACTGGAGATTTGCGTCATTAAGGCATTAGTCCCAGTTTACACCTGGTCATTTCATGTGTCTTGAGTTTTAGGATTAGATCTGGATGAGGCCAAACCACAAAAATGCAAGTGTAAACGCACCCAAGAAATCCGAACACTCAAATCACTTCAGGAGGTGGACTGAGACGCATTTAAGCCACGTGTTATATCAGCGTAAATGCATCAGTCTCTCCAAGATGCATTCAACAGCCAGAACTCCTCCCAGAACAACCCAAACTCCTCCCCATGCAGGACATCACTGGGCACGTGATCCATGTCTGCGAGGAAGATAATCATCGAGAATGCACGTGTTTGGGGACTGGACGAAACTCAAGTTTGGGGACTGGACGAAACTGGACGTTCCTTTTTCCCTCATCAAGGTACAAACAATGTAAATGTTCCCTCAAAGGTACAGCAGTAGTTTTAAGGTCTGATTGTGAACCTTAAATAAGTTTTTCCAGGTGAAAAGTTCGTATTTGCACCTTTTCATAACCGAATGATTTAAAACAGAACAGTAAAATAAAAGCCTGGAGGCGAGACGGGGTGTGTGGAGTCAGTACAGCTTAGAACATATCATTTCAGTGGATTATGGTTCAGTTATGTTCCCTGACTAAAGGTACTGAGACGAACCCTTGAGGGGCCCAGTGACAAGAGGGGCACTGACCCAGTACCTTCATTTCTGAGAGTGTGGAGAGACACTACTGTGCAAAATCATACAAAGAGGCTGAACAGATAAACATTTGGTGATTGGTTGCCACATAACGAGCAGATTTGCATATTCCGTCCCACACAGCATTCAGATTTAGGTCCGACTAACCGGAAACACATTTGACTACCAAGCGTAAATGCATGTGGATAAAATCTTATCAAGATACAATCCAGATACTAGTAGTGACCAGGTGTAAATGGGGTCATTGCTGTCACAGCCTGTGGTCAACAAATAGTTCCAGACAAGATTAGTTTTGCCCTTGTAATGTGGAAGCCCACCCAGAGATACGGTGGTTGGTATAGTGTAGTGGGTAACACCTCTGCCTTCTATGCTGTCATTTCTACACAGGTGGGCGAAGGTAGTGTTAGGAGTCTCTCCCAAGGACTCTTACTGGTATAGTGTAGGTTGCTTACCCAGGTGGGGGTTGAATCCCAGTCTACGCTGTACATTTCACTATTATAAGTAAAAGAGTCTAATGGTTGGTTGGTGTAGTGTAGTGGGTAACACCTGTCTTCTGCGCTGTAGACTGGGGTTCACACTATATAATAAGAGTCCTCACTGTGCCACTGAAGCGGACATGTCTGACTGGTTTGGTCTGCTCAACTGCCAGTTCACAGGTGACTTGTTTGACTTGTTTAGTTGGCTCTACTCTCAGTTCTCAGGGGTTTGGATTCCAATAATTAAAGGTCCACGCACTTATACCCTGCCTGCCTCATGCCTCGTCCCACTGAAACGTACTTTAGCAGTGTGGGTCTTTAAAAAGTCTGACTTTGTCTGGTGTTTTATTTGACAAATTTTAGGCACTGATGTCTGCTATGGAGTTAATGTTTTATATCTGGCACATCAAGGGATGTGCATTCTGACTAATTTTGGTGTTCAAGTATCCATAAGAGTTAAAGGGGAACGCCACCATGTTTTTTAAAAGTTTCTAAAGAAAGCAGTGGTTGAGATGTAAACAGTCTTCAGAATGGTTTGGTGTGAAATGGCTCATTGACTTTTTTATGGTGATTGCCACGTCTACAACACTAATATAGTCATTTTGTTTATTATCCAAAACCATAAGTGAATGTTTTTATATGGAATGTTGATGACGGTAAAATGGTCGTAATCTGAAAAAAGTTTTTTTGGGGACTGTTTTGCCTTATGCATGTATCCCTCCCCCATGAATGGATTGAAATAAATGGATTAAAATACATTTAAGCCACAACTCTATCATAGAACTATCATAAAACAATGTTCTAATTTTCTGTTAGGGAGCTTTTAGAGGTGGACGTCTGGTTCCTATCACCACCGCAATAAACAGAATGGAGCATTTCACACCAAACCACTCTGAATGACTGATTATGTCTTTGAATATTCTGAAAAAGCAGATCGAGTAATCTGAATGTATCTCACTTCGTCCCTCTCCACTCTCCATGCTTTTCACACTGCTTGAAGCCCGTGGCTGCAGTGCATTATGCATTTCAAATGCATTATTTTCTAATTCAGCCTGCCTACCACAGTTTACTAGGGCAATTGAATAAGTGCTTGAAAGAAGCCTCTTGAAATGTTCTCTACCATAGCACATTGTACAGGTAAAACTAATTTATTTGTTGTCTATTAAAATAAATAAATCAACTGTGTTAATCTGTGCTAGCCAATAAATGTAGACATTGATGTCTCAACAGGTTTACAGGACATTAAGTAATATCTCATCATCCATTGCGTCCAGGAAGAGCTGTGTTGAAATGCCCTGGTTGCACAAAGAGATTAGCAAGTTGCCGGACAACAGTTAACAAACAGTTTCAGACAGCTGAGATGTATCAAACACGATTAAAACTTAAAGCTAAATATCGAGCATTCCAAGCTAAAGCATATTGCCATGGTGAACATGACAATGTTTATATCGTATTGTCGCTGTCCGAAGAAAAACAAGTGTCTACCAAATGGAAACTTCACAAGAAGACAAAAGCGTCCTTTACTTTCAATGGAAGTACTTAAATGAATTCCTTCTTTAGAGCTTTTCTGTTGGTCCAATTATCCAGAGGTTTTTACACAACAAAAAGGGCAGCTGCCATGCTACCTGCTGTCAACAACACTTCTTTTGTTGTGTAGTTTTTTTTTGTTTGTTTTTTTGTTTTAACCTGCTGTCATGTTTTGTGTTTGTTTTGGAAATGGGCATCTTGTGCTGTCAGGAAGTGAGGTTTAACTATTACAGGTACCACA